CAAAAGCTAAAAGAATAAAACTTTCTACTACGAAAGTTAAATCGCAGATTTTAATACCAATTAACGTGTTGAATAAAATATATTACGTACTTTGAATCTTATCAATATAAATTATGAAATGTTTTATTTTAAGGTAAACAACAGAAAAACAGAAATCCTTCTTATAATAATAATTAGTGCATGCTATTTTCAATCTAAAATAAAATACACATTAAGACCATTAATAATTTTAGTATCTATGGGTAATAAGTAACATTTCATTATACTCATTTTTTAACATCTAAAAGAAACTATTTTTTCAGTGTTTGGTAGAAAACTATTTTTAGAAATTCTTAAAAATCCAATGCATTGATACATATTACAATTCTTATTTTTTCTTTCTGTATTTTTGAATATTCTGATTTTTGCCAATGAACATGTGTCACTTGTGTATATACAACTACCCATTAATAGTACTTTAAATTGTTGCATTTTTCTATTTTCTATCTTAAAGAAATACATTTATTTTTAGTCTAAAAGAAATTATTCTTATTTTTCTTCAAAAGGTAAAAAAAATACCACAAAACAAATCCAGTTCTAAAAATGCTGTTCTTTAGACCTTAAAAAGTCTCAGGAGAAAATGAGCCTCATATTTCAATAGGGAGGGGCTCTGCCTGTGCTCTGGGGCTCAAGGTTTGACCTGCGGGGAATATGGAGAAATTCACGTGCCTTCAAAATATTTCTGGACATGAAGTCTGCAAAAGAAAATGTGACCACACACTTCTCCCCTGAAGCCTAGAAATCCAGCACAAGAATCTATTTTTGTTTGAACATAAAATTAAAAGAAAAATCCTCTCTGTTATAGCTAGAGATGGACAAGCTTTACCTTCTAACAACAGACAAGAGTTAGAAAGGACTAGTTTTAGGGTAGTGAAAATTTAGTTTCCATATGAGAGTGGTTAATCATTTAGACTCTCACTACTTGTACATTTTGTTACCTGCTGTGACTTTTACTCATTTACTTGGCTACCTCATACCTGCCTTTCTGAAGTTCGACATTTGCATAACAAGATAGCTGAGAATGGTGGGTGTGGCAAATTGTATTTTCCAAAGATGGCAGCAATAATAAGTCTAGCTCACAACATGACTTTGCCATGCTCCATCCAGAGGTGGAGGCTAATTCCCTCCCTGATGCTGGGCTGACCCTCTGACCTGCCTGTAACTAACAGAATGTGGTAGAAGTGAGAGGTTTGGTACTTTTCAAAGCTGGGTCAGAAAAGGTCATGCAGCTTTTACCTGGTTCTCATGGGGCACTTGTCTTGAGAAAGAACTCCGAGGCCACCATGCTGAAGAAGCCATGTGTAGGTGCTTTCATAGATAGCCCCAGCTAAGTCCAGCCTCTGAGCCATCCTCACCAAGACACAAGCCACGGGAAGAAGCCATCTCAGACTCTCCCCAGCAGCGCATTTGTCAGCTGAGTAACACTGAGTAACCTCAGTCAACCAATGAAGGGCAGAAGAATCATCTACCTGTGCCCTGACTAAACCCCCAATCTATAAAATTGGTTAGATGTAACAAAATAGTTGTTTTCAGCCACTAAGTTTTGGAATGGTTCATGGCACAGAAATGGTGACTGGAATAGGGTAGACTAGGAGTCAGTAAATGAGAGGTGTGCGACCGAAAGCCTACAATTGAAAGGAAAGGATGACAGAAGAAAACCTGTGTAAAGGTGTATGCTATTTCTTGCAAAATGGCAAACCAGGTGCCTTGACTAGTTCTTCTATTTAATAGTAACTAAAATGCTGAAAATAATATTTAAAAATCATCTTAAATGTACTGATTGGCTGGTAAAAGAAGAATACTTTAATGAAAAGGAATAAATGAAGATGAAGCCCTGAGAAATAAGGTAAGCAGAGCACTGAAACTGGCCTTGACCCTGAGAGCATCTGTTGTGTTAAATCTGGTGACTTTAAGCCGTCATTTTCATAGCCTGGTGAGATACTGAAGACCAGAGATGAAACTCACCCAAGAGGGAAAGTCTAATAAATGATCTTCCAGCCATAAAGTGAAGCTCATATGGCATACCCTCAGTATAAGGGTGAACTAAAATTTATGACCCCCAAAGTACAGGAAAAAAATATGCATGTTGGTACTTAGAAAGTGAGAAGAGAGGAGGAAATTTACCCTGAGAATTTAAATAAGTCAACCCTCAAATGGGTTTATAGCCTGAATCGTAGTACTAAGGTGGTCTAAAAAAACTTATCTTAATAATCTAGTTTAAAAATAATGTAAGATAAAACAGGCTTCACAACAAAAAGCACTTCCTAAAAGAGTCTCATAATAAAGGTTTCATTGGGTACATGTAATTATTCTAAACATATATACATCTACTGACACGATCTCAGAATATATGAAGCAAAATTAACAGAAGTATAAAGAGAAGGAAAAAACCCATAAATGCAGTGGGAGATTCAACGTATCTCTTTTTTGGTACCCAATAGATGAACAACAAACCAAAAACTCACAAAACAAAACAATAAATGAGTAAAGATACAGAAATCTGAATGAGACTAATGAGCTTGGTCTTTGAGCATATTAACAGGAAAAATCCCAGTGCTTAAGGTCACACTCCAAACAAATTAAATCAGGATCTTTGGAGGTGAGACTTAGGTATCAGAATTTTTAAACCTCGCCTGGTGACTGCAATTATAGTTAACATTGAGAACTACTGACATACAGGGTCATTAAAGCCTCTAGTGCTTACATTAGAAAATAAGAAAGGATGAAAATTAATGACCTAGAGCTGGGGTCCCCAAACCCCCTCCCCCACCTCCTCACCCTGGCCGTGAAATGGTACTGTTCCTTGGCCTGTTAGAAACGGGCTGCACAGCAGGAGGTGAGTGGCTGGAGAATGAGCGCATCTTCATCTGTGTTCGTAGCCACTCCCCAGTGCTAGCTAGTGTCACAGCCTCAGCTCCACCTCAGATCATCAGGCATTAGATTCTCATAAGAGAACCAGTCCCTGGTGCCGAAAACGTTGGGGACTGCTGATCTAGAGAGTCCATCTTATGTTAGAAAAGAACAGCCAAATAAAGTTAAAAAAATTGGAAGGAAGAAGATAAAAGAGCAAAGAGCAACATAGAAAACAAACCAAGGACGATCAACTAAGCTAAAGGCATATCTCATACCTTCTCAAAATATCAATTCTAGGTAAATGAAGAACTTAAATATAAAAGCAAAACTATAAACATTTTAGGAAACAGAATTAGGGAATACATTTATGACTTTGGTATGGGAAAATTTTTTTTAAACAAACAAAATCCATGCCTTAAGGGCACTGTTCTAAATTTAATAAGTCAGACAGAGAAAAACAAGTACAATATGATCTTATTTAAATGTGGAATCTAAAAAAAGAAAAGAAAAAAAGAACCTCATGCCAAAAGAGATCATATCTGTAGTTACCAGATTTGGGTATAGAGGGAACGTACCACAACATAATAAAGGTCATAGAAGACAAAATCACGGCTAACATCATATTCAAGGGCGAAAAGCTGGAAGCTTTTCCTCTAAGATCAAGAACAAGACAAGGACGCCCACACTTACCACTCTAATTCAACATGGTACTGGAATTCTTAGCCCGAGCAATTAGGCAAGAAAAAGAAAGAAAGGCACTCAAACTGGAAAGGAAGAAGCAAAACTGTCACTATTTTCAGATAACCTGATATAACATATAGGAAACCTTAAAGATCCATCAAAAAACTGAACTAACAAATAAATTCAGCAAAGTTGTAGGATTCAAAATCAATACACAAAAATCTGTTGTGTTTCTGTACACTGATAATGAACTAGCAGAAGGAGAAATTTACAAAAACAATGTACTGTACACTTGAAACTAATTTAAATAAATAAATTAAAAAAAACGCTACTAGAATTATGGAGTGAAAAAAAAAAAAGAAAAAAATACCTAGGAATAAATTTAACCAAGGAAGTGAAAGACCTGCACATTGAACATTATAAGGCATTAATGAAAGAAATTGAAATGCACACAAATAAATGAAAAGAGATATGCTTTACACAGAAAATAAGACATCATACATAGTAGGTGCTTTACAGAATGAAGCCTCCTATTAAAAAGTGTCAGTCAGCACAGAGTATAATTAAATATCTAGTTCTAGCATTCAGACTGGGTGTGATGTGTGTTTATTCAATATCAAATTTTGCTTAGAGACAAAAATTAGAAATCATTTTTTGGGATATGAGGAAAATCTTAAAGTGAAGAATTTAAAAACAGATAGTTGGCAAAATTCTTTGGCTATAGAATGATAGTACCCATAAAATAACTAGTCTTTCTCCATGATAGAATCCTCTAAATATTTCAGTTTTTCTTAACTGTAAGCCATGACATAGATTAGAAGTTGGAAAACCATGCCCCCTGCAGGCCAAATTTGACCCACCATCTATTTTTCTAAATAAAGTTTTTATTGGAACGCATACACATCTACTTACTTACATGTTATTTCTGGCTGCTTTCATGCTACAATGGCAGACCTGAGCCATTGCAACAAAGACTCCATGACCCATGAAGCCCAAAATATTTATTCTCTGACTGTTTATAGAAAATGTGCACCGGTCTTGACATAGATCAATACCTTTCCCACTGTTATATCCCTTTAAAATAATAACTGAGTATAAGTTATATTTTCTAAGAGTAAGGATAAATCATGGCTATGGGAAAGGCTTGCTCTCACTCCCCCTACACCCCCAAAACAAAATTCAGGTTTGAATACAGGCAGGTTACATGGTTACAAGAACTAGTTTTCTCCAGAGACTTAGTTCAAAGAACTACATCGATATTACTAAATCTATCACATAAGTAATCAAAGTCAAAAAATTATTGGGATATTTGCTAATATCTAGTCTCCTAGGATGACTGGCTGGGGATAGGTGAGGATTGGGGCTTTTAGAAAAGCAATAAAATCATAAGTAAATCAGGTCATGGCTAAAGCTACTAGAGTTCTTGCCTTGTCTGCAGGTGTCAACCTGGCCCAGGGCTTGTCTGCCCGGCGATCATAGTCGGGAGAATCAGTGACTTCTACATACTCATTAAACCGCAGGATCCTTCGAGCTTGTAGCTCTGCTACTGTGGGTCTCAGGCTGAGCTGCAGGAGAAAAGGGACAGAGGGGTGAGTTCAGTAAACCATTTACAGCTTCAGGGTGGCTAGTCTTCTATAGAGAGCTTCAAAGTTATAGTGAAATAAGGTCACTTTCAGATATCGGAAAAAAAAAAAAAAGAACACGGAAAAGGCAGCAGCATCTTGGGAGTTTCTAATGAGAACTAGAAAGCAGTGTGCCCTAATTTTGAGACTATAAAAATCATCATTGTTAGATAGGTCACAGTCTTTAGCAACCATCTGTATTATGCTATTTTCCTCAACTTGCCTGTTGCGATAAAGGTGCCTGTCATCCCTGACATAGGGAACATGAAGCAACACAGACACAATAGAAATCCAAATATAGGATGGCTGTTTTGAGGATTGAATTATCAAGACAAAAAGCCTGCAACTTGTGGAAATGAGAATTATAATCTTAGCTCCTATTTTACTAAACTTGTCTATTCAGAAATGCACCAACATATGACAAAGAAATGATCCAGTGAAGGGTATGCCTATGGCGGTCTTCCATGAGAGGCAAAGGATCCAGGCCCAGGTTGACATTTACCCTTGGCCAGAAAAGCTGATGTGCAGGAATAAGGAGTGGGGACTTGCTGGAGAACAGCACTTCAGGGGCCCTAACTAAAAATCAGCTGTCATCTTTAAGATACTTCTAATAATGTGGATTCCTCCTGTTGTCTTTGTCAAATTCAATTTTACAGTTACATTTAATCTACCCAGCTGTGTATGTATTTGCTTTTCTCTCTTGGTCCTTTCTCAAGCCCAAGAATGAGACAGAGATGGTTCTGAGAGACTAAAGAAACACAGCCCCGGGTTGGCAGGCATCACCTACTCTTCGTTATCGAGATTTGTGGCTCTTCTGAGTTGGGAGATGTCTCAGTATTGTCAGACAGGTAGACCCAGGCCTCTGTTTTACCCATGGGGTCCATTTTCTTGGAGGTGTGTTTTATTTGCATAGCCTCAACTTTGGGGAAAATTAAGCACAATCACAAAAAATATTTTCCTGGTCAAAAACACACCATTTCCTGGGCCTCAGTTTCCTCTTAAATAAAACCAGAGGCTGAACTAAGTCAATGTTCTAACATTTAAGGCTTTTGAAGACTCTTAGAAGGCCTGGCACTATACCCTGAGCCCCCCTGGGCTGGGATATGGCAACTGCAGTGCCTTCTTGCTTCACAAAGTCCTGGTAGGCACTGGACAAAGAAAGGAATACTCTAAGTGGTTCTGTTACGCTCTCAGTTCCTGTCCAATCTATACTGGTAGCTTCTTACTGCCTCTCCAGGGCAGGTGGGGTTAAGGAGGAAGAGAAACCCTTGCCTCTGGGGACTGCCCAAAAGGCAAGTGACTGGTGGCTACACAGGTCAGAAACTCGTCATCCAGTCTTGCTCTTCAGGACTATGCCAGTCACAGGGTAGTTATTAGTGGCGTGGGCTGTCCCGCGCCTATGGCAGGGAGCTCTTCTTCTCTCTCTCTTAGAATGCTTTTGCTGTGGACTCTCAAGCCAGCCCAGATAAATGTGGGCCAGGTCACACACTTCACTGCAGATGTCATACTTTACTCATCCTGCCTTATCCAGGTGTGAAAGGTATACCTGAAGAATTACTGAACAAAAATTTATAATGAAATATAAACTGGTAGTTTTTCCAAAGACTATCACTATTTTTACATTTACAGGAAAAAGCAATAGCCCTGGTATCAGATTTCTATTTTCACAAATGTGTGGAAACAACTGTCTGAAGTGAGCCATTTGTCAATTTGTGTAACACTGCAGTAGGCAGGCTGGATGACCAAGTTCACTTAAAAAAATTACTCGCCCAGCTCCGATATGGAATAGTGGCAAATAGTAACAAAATATTTATTTGATATATCCAAGACTACATTCACTGAAAGTGTTAGCATTTTTTAAAACTAAACACGGAAATGTTAATAATGGTTATCTCTGAGTGGAAGAAATCTGTGTGATTTTTTTTGTTCCTTTTTGCTCTTAAAAATGTTTTCACACAGATTATATGTTACATTCACAAACATTAAATGCACTTAAAAACTTTTGATTGTTAACACCGAAATTAACATATCATGCAACTATAAACATAAACATAATTTACATTGATTTTAATGTCTATGATCAGTTAGTAGACTAATAGAAATAATATTATTCCTAAATACAAGATTTACATGTAGAGAGCTAATTCACAGTTAAAAAATGAAGTGTATCTCAAAACACACATGATCATTAACAGTCAGAGTTTCGTCACCTTTCTGCTGAGTCTGCGTTTAAGTTCCATTTTTGCTTCTTGTTCTTCTTCTTCATTCTTTTCTGTTTATTAATGGGGGGGAGGAGGCATGAAGACTTTGTTACTACAAATAATTTTATAATTAGAAAAGTAGATCAGGCCATAATTATTTGACTCTAACAGATATTGATCGAACACTCCACCGACATCCTTAAAAAGTTTCAAAAGATTTTGCAAAAAGATCAATCATTAATGTGTGTGTGTGTGATATTTTTCCTTACAGGACTAGTTTATTTACTCGTTGTAAACCTTTCTGCTTCCTGACTTCTTATTCTATTCTGAAAAAACCACAATAATGCTCATATTCTGGTGAAAGCCTTTCACTGCTGATCGTCTCATGGGCTTATAAGCACAGTTTATCAGAATGCAGGTAAAAATTTACTGTGAATCTGGGCTTCATGTGAAAATCTGAGACATGTCAAAAGAACAAATTAGAACCATGTGATGCATGTTTGAGTTGCTTTTCATAGAAGCAGAATGTAATCATTTCTTTGGACTTTGCTTTCAATGACAATGTTCTGAATGGGGTTATGTTGTGCTGTTGATGGAGATGATTTATTTTCTTGTGACTTTGACTTTCCAAAGTCTTGTCTTTCTTTGGTCCTTTACCAAGTAGTACAATTTAATGGCCAACTTAAATAAATGGCGTCCAACAGATGGGACTAAGAGAAAAATGTCCAGAATTTTAAAAGTAATAAACACCCCTTCAAATTTTAATGGTTGCTTATTTGATGAACTTCTCTGTTGCTTCCTGTAGCTCATCATTTGTTTGATAAGTGAGCATAGATTTTACTCTTTGGGTACCAATGCTTACAAAAAAGCATCTTTTAGAAAGTGCTGTTACAAAGTCTATTGAAGTAAAAATCACTCTATAAAGGCTCAACCAAAAGAGTGAAGAGATAATTAATTGTATTTATTTTTAAAATTCAAACAAACTTCTTACCACTAAGATTAATTTTATTATGAATACAATATCAGCATGCAATATTGTAATATTTGTATTTGTTAGTTGAACATGCTAAATCTCTATTAATTTTTCTTATGTGGATGGGGAAAGTATGTATATTCTTCTGAAATACTAATCTTAATTCATAAGAAAGAGGATGACCAGTCTGAATATTGAGATAAAAAGTGAACATAAACTGAAATTATCCTGCAAGAAGAAACAACTAGTTAGTATGCTTTCATGAAGTGCCTGTGAGTGTCAAATAAATTTGGTTATAACTCAGATTTCTTCCTATGAAAATAATATAGGTATCATTTGACATCTTTAAAATATACCCTTAGGGTCAGATAATTACCTTGTATGAGTTAGATAAGGATTGTAAATGATACATAACAGACAAACACCAAATTTGTAGTTCCTGTGAGTCAAACTAGGGCTTTACAAGGTCAGGCCTTAGATGATGATATTAATAAGAAGAAAAATACAATCCTTAAAACATTTCAGTCAATTTTTCCTATATAGTGATTATGTTACATTTTAAAGGTACTTTTAAAAGACAAAAAATTGGATATCTAATAGACTCAAAGCTAACAAACTCTCCAGTTTTCATGAAATACATAAAATGTCATTTCCTTGATGAGAATCTTAGATAATTTTGCCTTATTAAGCATATTGTACATCTAAGTGACAGCCAGTGACGTTTTTAAAAAAAGAAGGGCCAACTGCAGTTAGGGGAGCAAAATAAACAAATTTTACCATTTGGGAATTCTTTTTTAACATCAGGAGCTGACTTCCTTACATTTTCCACATTAGAAATTGTACTTTTAAAGAAGTTGGAGGAAGAAGGTGGAGGGAAGCCAACGTGACTGCTCTTCTTGTTAGTCACTGAAAAGTCTCTTACAAAGAGTCAAGGTTATATCTTAAACTAGTTTTAAAAAATTCAGAGGTTTTTTTTTTTAATGTTTCTTTCCTTTTTTGTGGGGAGGGGATTTATTAGAGGGCTAATTATGAAGTCGGATGCAAACTTTTCTGGTCACTTTAAAAAGACTGGGAGAATGTTCACGAAGGAAGTGACATGGCTCATTGACAAATCTTGCCCTCAGTAACTCTCATCAGAGCAGAGAAGGGGCGGATATTTCAGAATAGCCACAGGAAGCATTTGCCATAAACACACAAGCAATACACGAGGTTTAACAGGGTATGCACTATAGGAACGCTGCCGAGCTTGAGAGTGTTGTCCAGAGCTTTTGGTGGATGAGTTATAAGAAGTAGAAAAGGCACTGAAATTTCAGTAACTGGAGTATTATGTTCTTGAGTCATCAATTCAGATAAAATGGGGTTCAAAAGGCCAAACATTTTCTGTGAGTTTCTCTTTTTGCTGTTTTACATGTTTCTGTATGGGTGTTTTTAACAAATGAAAATACATTTATAAACCTACTTTGAAATACATCAAAAAAATGAATCAATGGATGAACAGATATGTGATAAAGCAAGATATGATAAAGTAGATGATAATCGTAGAATATAAATGGTAGATATATATGGGTGTTTACTGTAATATTCTTTCAACTTTTCTCTATGGTTAAAAACTTAATAATAAACATTTCATAATAAAATGTTGGGGAAAAATACAAGCAAAATTCTATAGCCTAATACATTTTTCGCCCTATAAAAGATATAGCTAGAATTATAGTCACAGCTAAATAGAATGAGAGGATCCTTATCTTTTATCCCTGTCCTGAAAAAGATGTTCCATCTACATCACTTTTCCTGATAAGCAAAAACTGACCTTTCAAGCTTCTAAACTTGCTTTCTATTTTAACAATTTTAAGAAACTGGTTCTAAAATGCATAGCTAAATATAATTTAATATGTATTTTAAAATGCTAGATGCACTAAAATAGGAACAAATCAAGTAAGCTGTGGTACTGGGAATGATACTAAGAAATAAAATTTGTCCTGTGGTCTCCAATTAAAGCTATTAGCATTGACTGCCATCTGACTTATGTTTATTAAACTAGCAATGGGCTTAGGTTGGAGGATTGCTAAATATTTAATGCTGTGAATAATTTCCTTAGTTTGCCAAGAAAAAATAACCTCATTAAAGTAAGCATCCTTAGAAATCACATCATGTCACACATAGGCTTCTCTTCAAATAGACAATCATGTTGCTTTTGAATGAAAACTGGCAATGAAACACGCAAACAAACAAGAGCAATCTATGTGGAAGAACCCAGAGGCAAAGAGGCCTGAGTAAAGTGTCATAAGCTACGGCATTCAGCTCCCTGGCACTGCTCTGCAGAATGCTCTGGACGACCTCCGTCAGTTCTCTTTTCTGCTTCCCTTAGCCATACAATATTATGTCAGGAGATCATAAGCCACTTATCAGCTTCTCCAGACTGGAAATGTGTCTTTTGTTTCCAGAAAAAGTATGCTTAAACAAACGGAAAAGGAAGTAAATAAGGCTAAAGTCAAATCTGAAGTTGACTTTGGCGTCTCACTC